CTCCTCCCAGCCCCTGACAACCGCAGATCTACCAACTGGCCCCATAGTTTTCCCTTTTGCCATGATGTCTGGAAAGGTCCCCGGAGAGCAGTGCAGCACCAGTACTGGGTGGTGGCCACACAGCAGCAGAAAGGAGCTGGAGCAGATGGGCTTACAAGGTAGAAGGGACAACCTGCGGGTGGGTGGAGTGGGTCTCACACAGCCCCTCACACTTCGCCTGAGCAGCTCGGCCAGTAGGGGTACGGGTGGTCTCTGAGGGTGAACCTGGCATTGGGGGCTGAGGGAGGAAACTGGTGGCCTTGCAGTCAGGCACAGGCAAGGCGCCAGGGCGGAAGGAGTCGTGCAGGGGTACGTGGCCCAGGCTGAGGGGCACTGCCTCGGGAGGAGCATAGGCAGGTGGTCCGGCAGGCCTCTCAGGGCTCCCCCTGAGAACATGCCTGGTCCCTTCACGGTCTGTCCCAGGAAAGAAGGTGGCTGGGGGTGGGAGGGCCTGCAGTGCGCCCTCTTGTGGCCATTGGGGAGGAGAAGGGTGAGGTCACCTCAGAAAACAGGCCCTGAACAGCCTTCGTCTGTCGACCTCTCCATCCCACACCACAGTCTGGCCCACAGTCATCTCCCTGGGCACAGTGAGGACAAGGATAAGTCAACACCTCTCCGCTACGTCCTTCTCTCCCCCACGCCTCGCTTTGTACAGGGTCAAGGCTGAGCCTGGGCCGGGCCTTCAAAGCCCACACCGGGACCAGGGCAAGCCACCACACATGTGGGCCTCCTGCTCCTCCCAGGCCCGGTACTCTGCTTTCCCTGGCTGGCCCTTCTGTGCAGGGCTGCGTCCTCCCATTCCTGAGGCCCAGCAGGACAAGCCTGTGGGCAGTGGGGCTCACCTCCCTCACCTGTTCCCCTCCCATCCAAAGGTCACGACTGGCAGCAAAGAAAACTAACAAGCACTGGGTAAAAATTAAATGTGCATAGCAGACGGTTCCAAAGTCCCACTGCTGTGGGGGGTGGGTGGGCAGAGGTGATGGAGTGACCAAAGGGAAAGTTAGGACATGTGCAGGGGCTCCAGGCACATGGAGCCTCCCTCTAGCCCCTGGAGGCAATGACCCCAGCCTGCACACACTGGGCGCCCAGCAGGTCTCAGACATGTGCTGCCATGTGTGGTGTCCTGGGCCAATGAGGTACCACGGGGGAGCCCCAACACAGAGGCATCTGCAGTCTGTCACCCTGGGTGGGTAGGAGCGTACCCTGGCCCAGCCAGCCCTCACAGCTAAGGATACCCAGGGCCAAAAAGCCCACCTCAGAGTGACCCCCAGCCAAGGAATCCCAGGGAGCAGTCCTTGGGCTCCACCGTGGGTGTCTGGGTCCCCCCTCTGCCTGGCCCCTTCAGAGTGAGGAGCTGAGACCTCAGTCAGGGAGGGGGCTGAGCGGTGAGGTGAAGTGCACACAGGCCTGGGTCTCCACCGACCAGCCTGCATTCTGCGGCCCGGGTCCGCACCTGGACGGGAGGCCTCGGGCTCCTGGCACGTGGGCCACGGCTGCCGCAGCCACACAAAGGGCTCATTCACGCGCCCCGGCGGAGGTCGGGCTGCACCGAGCGCGCACGCACACACACACACACACACACACACACACACACACCCGCAAACCACTGCGCGGGCCTGAGTGCCTGCGCCAGAGGACAGCGCGGCGACCCGCCCGGTGAGTGCTCGGGTGACAGCGGACCGGCCGCGGCCGCGCGTGCTATACGGTGGGGGTCGCGCACGGAGAGGACGTGGGCGAAGACGTGGGGCGCGGGCTCCCGGAGCAGGAGGGCGGGGCCGCGCGCGCTCAGAACGGGAGTGATGCAGGGGCGCGCGGCGGGCTGATGGACCCGCCCCCTGAGGGAGCCCGCAGCCTGTCTGAGCGTGGGGCTAGGAGGGTGTCTTAGGGCCGGCTGGCGGGAGAGGCCGGTGCTCTCCATCTTCCCAGCCAGCACCGGGGGAAACGCGGGTCTGGTCCTCAGGGCCCTGGAAGCAAAACGCGCCGCAGACCCAGCCCCTTTGCACTCAGGGTCGGGATCAATGTCTTCCTTTCCAAATAAGTGTACTTGACAATTTAAAACCGAGATTTAAAGACAAATACTAAGGAAATAACCATGTGGCTTAGGGCTGGGCAGACACCCCCAGAGGGGGGTTCCAGGAGGGCGAACCCCAAGGCCCCTGTCCGGGGGAAGTCTGCAGCTCCGTGGGCCGGTGGAGTGAGGGGGTGTGGGCCTCAGGAGCCCCTCTGACAAGCAAGCGCCCAGGACTAGGTACCTGTGTGCGGGGCCAGACCACAGGCGCCCATCACCAGCCTCAATGCAGAGAAGCCAGGAAGGGCATGTCGGGGGCAGGGGCAGGAGGAGGGGGTCCTGCAAACCTCTAAAAGATCAGATGTGACCTCGACTGCTACTCCTTCACCTGATTTAGACACCCAGCTCCAGCAGAATGTGAGCCCAATCCCTGCCAGCGGGGGGCAAGGCTGGCTCCCTGCTGCAGCTGACAGGGTGGAGGCTCTGGGTGGGCCCACTGCCCACTGAGCCCCTCCCGGAAGCAGCTTCGCCTGCCCTGCATCTCACCCCTGGTGCTTTCCCACCCAGAGCTTCCAGAAACCCTGACCATCCCCTTCCTAACTCAGGAAGGGCCCCTTCCCATGCTAGGTCCCCACCCCGAGGAACCCCTCTCCTCCAGCAGCACCCAGGCCCCCTCGCCCAGCACGCACACGCTAACCATGGCTGCCACTGCTCTGGGCACCAAGGAGTCCTTTGGGTCACACAACCCCAAGGAGTTCTCTCACTGCCCCCCTGCCAGTACTGGGGCAGGAGATAAGGTAGATGCCCCCTCAGAGCTACCCTCCCCTCTGAACCCCAAGGTGTGCCTGATGACCCCAGGGAGGGGCCTGAGGCTCTCCTGCTCTGGGCAAAGCAGGAGGTTTGCAGGACCCCCTCCTCCTGCCCCTGCTCCCCACCAGAGGTCACGTGGGTCCTGGGCTGGACGTTGGGGGGGAGACCCTAGGTGTGTCCTGGGGGGACGGGAGAGCACTAGGGGCTATGGGGCCAGGGCAGCCCCGTGGGATGGGCCCCTTTGCACACATAATCCTTCAAGATCCTGGCGATGGAATTTCACCTCAGTTATTTGGTATAAAGGTGGGGGACCTGAGATCGCAACAGTCCTCTTATGGTTTCTGGAGCACGAGGGTAACCATCTAAAGCCATCACGTGCCTTCCCCCCAGCCCCAGCCCATGCCGGGCACCTGTCAGTCATGCAGGTGCTCAGACCACCCCACCCCCTCCCAGCAAGAGGGCACCCCTCCTGGGTAGCGTATCTTGGTGCCTGCTGGCCCTCCAGCAATCTACATGTGTGCATGCACAAAAACCTCACACCCGCCTTCCACACAAGGACATGGAACAGAGGCTGAAGATACAGCTGCCCAGGGCCACCCTGGCCAGCGCACTGGCTTGGACTAGATCTGTCCCTCCTTACAACAGGAAGGGTGACCAGGGACAGGATGAAGAGCTCGCCCCTCCCCCAGGGTCCCTCCCCCTCCTCGCCTACCCCTGGGTAGTTGTGGCGACGACGACAGTAAAAGGCCCCAGAGCGGAAGGGTCCCTTGCGGCCTGTGTCCCGGGGGACTTCTGCCTCCCCCAAGGACCCCAGCATCCAAGCACCCTGCCCCAGCCACTAGGCACCCTCGCCCACCCTGTCTCGCACCTGGGGCAGCGCGGGGAGGCTGGGAGCTTATCAGGAGGCCCCGAACAATTGTTTGTGAACCTCTGATTACAGTGCAAGTCCCTGGATCAGCCGACAGGTAACACCAGTCTGGGGGAAACCCATGACTCAGCAAATTTTGGGGGTAAATAATTTAACTGCAAACCCAGCTGCCCAGGCAGTCAGATGGTCACCACGGAGCACTGCCCCTGGCGGGCACCACATCTGCCACGGCTGGGCTCCTGGCTCCAGCTCTGCACTCGAACCCTGTTGCCCACCCCCCACCCCCCCACACTGGCCAACAGAAGCCAGAGGGCTCTGGAGGCCTAGCCGGCCGGCTCACTCCAGCCCCAGAGGACCCACAGGCCAGCTGCCTCGCTACCCTCCAGTCCCCCAAGCCTGTGAGGGGCTCCTCAGGTAAGACCATCCAGCGCCCTGCTGCGGGACTGTGAAATCCCTGAGGCGACCAAAGAAGCCAGCTCCCTGGGGGAAGGGAAGTGCGGGACCGGTTGCAGGTCTCCTTTGTGGACCCGCAGGCACAAGGCAGATACCACTGAAGCAGTCCCCTCCAACACACCCAGACTCTGGGGCCGTATGCTGAGGTCTTCCCAGGAAGGAAACCCACTCAGCGTCCCTCTGGAGTTCAGGGGGCTCTGACTGCCCGCACCTCCTGCCATACGGTCCTCCACACTCCGGGGAGATGCCAGGCCCTGTGTTGTGGGCCAGGGGTGGGAAGGCAAGAGCAGGCCGGGCCCTGGAAGGCCCACTGTCCTTGGGACACAAGGGACAGTCCCACACTTTTGTTCACGGTGCACCTGTGTGGTCTGAAGAGTATTATCACACCCTGGGCAAGGAGACCCCACAATTCTGGGGGATGAGGCAGAGGACAGAGACCAGTCACCCCAACCTCCCTACCCCCTGGCCCCCACTGAGATCACCCTCCCAAAGCCATCCCAGGAGTTCTGGCACAGAGACTGGGGTGGCCAGCGCTGCTGGCCCAGCACAGATTAGGGGTCCCAGGATCTCCAAGGTTCAACAGGGCCTTGGGAGGTCTCCCTCCTCCGAGCCCATGGTACAGAGGTGATGGAAGGGCTGCCAAAGGGGACCATGGTGGTTTGGATGGGTGACAGAGGGGCCACTGCCTGCCCGGGGAAGTGGACAGGGAACAGGGGAGCTGGGTTTGGCCACGCATAGGTCTGGGGCTCTGTGCTGCCCTCTGACCCCAGCAGTGACACACGCGTCCGTTGCAGGTTCCCCTGAGGAGTGTGGCGGGCCAGGATGGAAGTGTCTGCTGAGGGCGCGCCGCAGGGCACGGGACCGGTGCTGGTGCGCCGGCGGTCCCCAGGGTCCCTGGGGCTGCATGAGATGCTCAAAGCCAGGCTGTGGCACAGCTGCACGTGCAGCACACAGAGGGCCTGGACGCTGGTGCAGGACCTGCTCCCCGCCACCCACTGGCTGCGCCAGTACCGCCCGCGGGAGGCCCTGGTGGGTGATGTTATGTCCGGGCTGGTCATTGGCATCATCCTGGTGCCCCAGGCCATCGCCTACTCGCTGTTGGCAGGGCTACAGCCCATCTACAGCCTGTACACGTCCTTCTTCGCGAACCTCATCTATTTCCTCATGGGCACCTCGCACCACGTCTCCGTGGGCATCTTCAGCTTGCTCTGCCTCATGGTGGGCCAGGTGGTGGACCGCGAGCTCCTGCTGGCTGGCTTCGGGCCTGCCCAGGAGGGGCCCGGGCCTGGGGACAACAGCAGCACCATCAACGCCTCGGCTGCTGTGGCGGGGCTCAGGCCGCAGGACTGTGACCAGGACTGCTACGCCATCCGCGTCGCCACTGCCCTTACGCTGGTGGCCGGCATCTACCAGGTGAGGGGCTGCCAGGGTGGGGGTTCTGCAGAGCGAGGTGCAAGCCCCTCGGGTGCTTACCACCCACTCAGAGGGCCAAGCCCAGGGCAGTGTAGGGTCGGGGCCTCGGAGGACGGTGGGTTTAACCAGCAAGGACAGGACAGAGCCAGCAGAGGTGGGCACGGGATGGCACCCCAGGATGGGGGCACCCAAGGCTCTGAGGATGCCCAGGAATAGGGACCCTGTCCAGCGAGCTGTGGCCTAGACAGGAAGGGTCGGCTTGAGCTGCGGACTGGCCTGACTGGCTCACATAGCCCCCTGGGTTTCCTGTCCCTGGTAGGACCCCGAGGGACTGCCTCTCTTCCCGCAGCTTCCCCATGTCCTCGGCTCTCCTGGACCAGGCCTGTCCTGTCCACCCCCAATGTCACACCCTGCCAGGGGCCCCAGGTCTCCCGGGATGGGGGCAGTGCCCCGCGTGGGACAGGGGAAAGGAGCTGCTTGCCGCTGCCCGGAGCCCGCACACAGAAGAGGACCGGCAATGAGCACACGAGGCTGCGTGTGCTCCTCCAGCGTCTGCTGTGCTTGTGTGCACACGCACGTGCAGGGAACTCCACACACAGTCCGCTCGGGAGACAGGCAGCGGCGGTGAAGGGGTGAGGGGTTCTGGGCTTCCACCACACTCACCCCACCCTGTCCGCAGGTGCTCCTGGGCATGCTCCGGCTAGGCTTCGTGTCCGCCTACCTGTCTCAGCCGCTGCTTGATGGCTTTGCCATGGGGGCCTCGGTGACGATCCTGACCTCCCAGCTGAAGCACCTGCTAGGCGTGCGGATCCCACGGCACCAAGGGCCGGGCATGGTGGTCAGCACGTGGCTGAGCCTGGTACGCGGTGCTGGGCAGGCCAACCTGTGCGATGTGGTCACCAGTGCCACATGCCTGGCCGTGCTGCTGGCCGGCAAGGAGCTCTCTGAGCGCTGCCAGCGCCGCCTGAAGGTGCCCCTGCCCACGGAGCTAGTGGTCATCGTGGCGGCCACGATGGTGTCCCATTTTGGGCAGCTCCATGAACGCTTTGGCTCCAGCGTGGCTGGCGACATCCCCACGGGCTTCGTGGCCCCCCGGGTGCCAGACCTGGGGCTGATGTGGCGCGTGGTGCTGGACGCAGTGCCACTGGCCCTCGTGGGCTCCGCCTTCTCCATCTCTCTGGCGGAGATGTTTGCCCGGAGCCATGGCTACTCTGTGAGGGCCAACCAGGAGCTGCTGGCCGTGGGCTGCTGCAACGTGCTGCCAGCCTTCTTCCACTGCTACGTCACCAGCGCCGCGCTGTCCAAGACCCTGGTGAAGACGGCCACTGGCTGCCGCACGCAGCTGTCCAGCGTGGTCAGTGCCGCCGTGGTGCTGCTGGTGCTGCTGGCGCTGGCGCCGCTCTTCCGGGACCTGCAGCGGTGCGTGCTGGCCTGTGTCATCGTTGTCAGCCTGCGTGGCGCCTTGCGCAAGGTCAGGGACGTCCCGCAGCTGTGGCGGCTCAGCCCAGCCGACGCACTGGTCTGGGTGGCCACCGCGGCCACCTGTGCGCTGGTCACCGTCGAGGTGGGGCTGCTGGCGGGCATCCTCCTGTCCCTGCTCAGCCTGGCTGGCCGTACCCAGCGCCCGCGCGCTGCCCTGCTCGCTCAGATTGGGGACTCTGGCTTCTACGAGGACACGGCGGAGTTCGAGGGCCTGGTCCCCGAGCCTGGGGTGCGGATATTCCGCTTTGCAGGGCCGCTCTACTACGCTAACAAGGACTTCTTTCTGCGGTCCCTCTCCAGCCTCACGGGGCTGGACGCAGGGCGTGCAGCCACCAGGAAGAAGGAGCGGGGCCTGGAGGCCAGGGTCAGTGAGGGAGACCCTGTCGAGGGCATGGACCTGGGCCCAGGGACCAGCACGGCGGCCCTGGTGTCCACGGCAGCCGGCTTCCATGCCGTGGTCATCGACTGTGCACCCCTGCTCTTCCTGGATGCAGCCGGTGTGGCCACGCTACGGGACCTACGCCGAGACTATGCAGCCCTGGGAGTCACGCTGCTCCTGGCCTGCTGCAGCCCCTTGGTGCGGGACACCCTGAGGAGAGGCAGCTTCCTTGGGGAGGACCAGGGTGACCTGACTGAGGACGGGCAGCTCTTCCACAGCGTGCATAGTGCCGTGCAGAGGGCCCGAGCCCGCCACAGGGTGCCAGCAGCCACGGACACCGCCCTCTAGCAGAGCCTCCATTCTGCCCCAGGAGCCCTCAGCAGATACGCGCATACCATTGGTCACTGACATCAGTTCCCACAACTCCTCCAAGACCGATGCTGTGCCCCTCTGCCCTGCAGGGAACACACAGAGGCCCCTGACACTTAAACATCCAAGAGTGACTCCCTAGAAACAAACCACCCCAGTGCCACCCCGGGCCACAGGCTGAGCATATGTGGTCCTGCAGGGTCGATTTGACGCTGGATGTCACCGTCTTATTTGAACAAGGTCCCCGAGGCAATCATGACGCCTCCAAGGTGCCAACAGGATACTGGTCCCTTGCCCCGCCCAGTCCCAGTCCCACTGGGTAAGAGGTGGCAGCTCTGGCCAGGGGCAAGACGGTCCCTATATCTCTCGAAGTCTTCCAAACACACACCCAAGTGTTCCTTACGTCCCACGCCTTGGCTGGGCGGAGCCTTGAAGGGCCAAAGGAGAGGGGGTGTGACCAACACAACTTCAGCCCAGCCCCTGGGCATTCTTCCTGCAAAGCCTGACCAGCCAGCACACTGCACGAGGTCTGTGGGTGCATGGGCGCTGGGCCAGCCACAAAGCTGGTGCAGTGGGACACCCACCTGCCCCCAAGCCTCTAAGTGATGTCCTGCAGGCTGCCAGCTGTGCCCAACCCAGGGGCCGCCCAGCGCCCACCACAGCCCCCAGACTGCACGGCCCGCACACCCGGACAGAGTCTTCCTCTTGGCCTCAGTCTTCACCTCCATAAAGGGGGCTCTGCCAGCTGCCCCCATCACTCACCGGGCTGTGATGAGCTCCAGCAGCCAGTGGGTCCGGACCTGCTCAATGCCACCATGAGGGACAGCACCCACATAGGCCAGGTTAAGCTGCTGGTCCCAGCTGAGGTCATACTGGTCAGCCTGGCTGTGAGGCAGTGGGGGGCTGGGGACAGAAAAAGGGGGATGTGGCATGAGTCCCATGGACAGGCCCAGGCTTGCCCAGGACACCCGTCTCCAGCAGCTGGACAGAAAGTGCCTACCAGTGAATGTTACTGTCCCTGATGTAATAAAATGACCCCTCACACCAGGAATGTCAGGAAGTCTCATGTTTATGGAAAGCAGGGGCTCCCTGAGGGGAGAGGACCACATCCCAGTACCCTGCTCCTTCCCCTTCAGCCAGGTGCTCTCAGCCAGAAGCAGGCCACAGAGGGGGTGGGAGCCACAAGGAGGTGGGAGACAGGGGCAGTCTGAGACACAGGGGGGTGAGAGACAGATCTCCTGGTAGGGATGTGTGACGTCACTGTGGCTGCCCCCTCAGGAGGGTCCTGGTCTGCTGCCTCTCCTGCGCTTGGCCTGCCCCAGGTGGCCGGCAGGCAAACTCAGGGCCCGTCCAGAGGCCTCTGGCACCCACTCAGAAAACCCTTCTTGGCACCCAAAACACTGCCTGGAGCCCGCGGACAGAGAAAACTCCGGATCTGACTGACGGGGGTCCCTGAGGGTAAGGAGTAAACCAGCCAGCGACGGGTTACGACCCAGGCAGCCGTCCTCCCAGTCCTCCCATCAGAGCGCCTAAGGTGGGCCCTGGGCGCGAGAGGGGAAGGGTCTCTCCAATGCAACCAGGGGGACCCAGAGCGTGTCCCGGGTTCAGGAGGAGCGCGCGGCGGGATGGAGGCGAGATGGGCCTCTCGGGCCTCAGTTTCCTCGCACGGAGCGCTCACCAGAAGCCGGTGCTCCTCCAGAAGGGCCGCAGGGGCCGCAGAGCGCGGGCCGCGTCCACAAGCACGAGGTGCGGGGCCTCTGCCAGGGCCCGGGGCGTGGCCAGCAGCGCGGCCAGCAGCGTGAGCAGCGGGGTGCGGGAGCGCGGTGCCCACATGGTCGGGTGGGCGCGGGGGCGCGGGGGCGCACAGTCGCCGCAGGTCCGGCGGGTCGTCTGTGTTCCAGGAGCCGAGGGCTGCGCGGCGCCGACCCGTTCCACCTCCGGGTCGCACGCCACGTGACTGCCGTGACTGCCGCGCCGGGTTCTCGGAACCCGGGCGGGACTGGCCTGGCGAGGGGCGGGGCCGGCGAGGGGGCGGGGATTGGGGGTGGTCCCCGCTGGGCTCTAGCCTGCGGGTCGTGGGTCGCGGCCCTTTCCCAGCAGTGGGGCCACCTCTGCTGAAGTGCGGCTGTGCGCCGACGCGTCCCGCAGGAGTGCTGCGCTGTCCCGGGGCCTGAGCGAGCTCTTTTCTGGTTCGCGCTTCAGAGGGTCGCCCCGGAGACCAGCCGGGAAGTAGCCGAATGCGCGGGTCAGGCGGCCACTTGATGGCTCTGACCTGCGATGGCTGGATGGTGTGCACAGGTGGTCAGACGGGGGCACGTTCGGAAGATGAGCGCTAGGACCTCCAGTGGATGGGATGCAGGGGGTGGGAGAGTCAAAGGAGAGCCCGTGCAGGGTGGACTTGGCTCGGGGAAGGGACAAGGAGCAGGTGCGGTCAGTGCGCAGGCCGGCTGGGAGAAACCGAGTGGACCTTGCTGACAGCTGGGTGGCCCGGCCTGGCTGTGCTCATCCTTACACTCCACGTGCAGGCGCTCGCGTGGCGGAGCACCGTGGCTTCCACAGTTGGACGTGTCCCCACACTGTGACTGGCTCCGGCCGCCCTCCTGTGGGAAGCCCCAGAACCCCTCCCTGGAGGCCGCCGACCGACCAGCCCCTCAGGTTGGCGACAGAGCAGTGTCTGCAGAGGTAAGAGCGTGGGGCTGGCTAGCACTACTGGAAGATCCCAGCCATGGATCTGGGGGGCCTGAAAGCCACAGGGAAGGCACAAAGACCGCTGCCCAGGCACATGGCTGTGAAAGGCTGAAGCCAAAGGCCAAGGAAGCATTTTCAGAGCTCACTGACTTTTCAACAGAAGCAACAGAAACCAGTACACAGTGAGAGGAATGCTTCAAAGTCCTGGAAACACACAACAGGGGAGCTAGAATTCTGAACCCAGCAAGAAGTTTACTTCAAAAGAAAAGGTCAGATAAAGACTTTGTGGAGAAATGGACTCTGGAGACACTGGTCGCCACTGGCCCTCACCTGAGGAGATGGTAACTGGGGCCCTTGAAGCAGAATGACCCCCACAGCCCAGAGCTTCAGGAACAGTGTGTTGTATATAAACCTAATGAAGAGTGCTTTCTAAAACCAGAACAGAATGTCTTCTGGGACTTAAATACCCCAGGGAATTGAAAGGCATGACAATAGCACAGAAGTTGTGAGCAGAATAATTGCAGTGTGATTGGCTGGCCCACAGCCAGACCCTGGGCCTCATCCCAGGACCTCTGAGTGTGACCTTTCATGGTGAAGGGACTTGCAGGTGAGATTAAGTGAAGGATCTTGAGATGGGGAGATAATCCTGGATGATCCCAGCGGGGCCTGTATCTCGTCACTGCATCCTTGTAGGGGGAGGCAGAGGGAGACTTGACAGGGGAGTGGCTGCATAAAGACCTCAGAAGAGAGGTGTACTGTGTACTCAGGCTTTGTTCAGACCAGGTACAGTAAGACACACACACAGGGAGATGATTGCAATGAACGAAGAAGTTCATATTCAGGATACGAGGAGACAGAAGGCTGGGCACTTGGGCCATGGCCACACAGGAACACCAGGAGTGGGGAGAGATCAGCAGAGAGCCTCGTGGGAAGTTTGCATCACACAGAGGCTGAACACATCTCCCCTTCAGGACAGGGAAGGACAGAGAAATCTTTTCAGGTTGGTGTAGGTGAGAGTTGGGCTAAGGGCCCTTAATTAGGGGAGCTTAAGGCCTGGGGCAAGATAAACACTCATCTTGGGGTCCATTCATTGAAATGGGATATGATGAGGAATTGTTTAACAGGATCATTATGTCCCGCAGTGAAACGGGTTCTGTGGAACCTCTCAGAAACATGGCGGTTTCAAGTGACGTGTGTCTTGGTTACGGTGTTGGTAATGTTTCTAACTCCAAAAGGTAAGGATGTCTTGGTCACAACTCGTACTGTGGTCTTCGTGTATCTGGACGCATGTGTGATTTCAAGTTACATTTTTGGCATCTGTGAGTCAAGAGAGTCCCAGTGTTCTCTACTCTGAAGGGGACAGTTCTTACGCAGTGGTCTGACAGTGTGTCATCAGTGTGAAGATGGGCCATTGTTGCCCAGAGCACCCACTGCTCAGGCACCTGTATGAAGTTGGCTAAAGTGCTGGCCTTGGGTCCTGTCCATGTTCAGGGATGTCCTGGCAGTAGGACTCCAGTGGGGTTGGTCACACATGGTGGCTGGTGGTGATGTTTACATGGCCTGCCTGCTCCTGAGCCTCCAAGTCCCAAGGGGCTCCCAGGCAGCCAGCAGCCTGGGGAGGAATGTGTTGCTAGTGGGACCCAATAGGACTCCAAGCTGTTGGACCTCTGTGTCCTAATGAGTGTGTCCTAGGAATCCCCTTGGAGGAGGGCACCATGTTGGAGAGAGGTGGCTGCGTCAGGATCTTGTATGGGGGTTGGTGCTGTGGTGCAGCTCTGGGCAGCCGGGAGGGCTGCACTGTGTCCCCTCAGGTGTGGAAGTAGCCGCTGCAGATAGGCTGTCGAAACAAGCCAGAATCGGACATTTCAGCCCATCAGTACGAGCAAATGTTTACTGGTTGGGTGGGTACAATCCGAATGGTGTTGGGTACTAGGTGTGCGGCCCCTGATGGGCAGGACCACATCATGGAGGGGGCGGGGGAGGGGTTCTGGTAATCCACCACTAGTTGCTCCTAATTTTTCCAGGTGAAAGAACACACAAGATCAGGCCTGTATCTTCTCTCCTCTTTTTCTTTTTTTTTTTTTTTCTTTCTGGTTTTAGGGTTTTCACTCCTGCCTCTGGCTGATAGGAGGAAACTAGGAGGGAAGGGCCTGCAGGAGCCTCCCTGGGATGGCTCCAACCCAGCAGCATCCCTTTCCCTTGTTTCTTCTCTTAGGGCAAGATCTTCTTTTTTCCCTCTTAAACAAAATCAGGACTGTATCTTCTCCCCTCTTTTTTTTTCCCCCTCCCCT